CCCCAAAACCCCAAAACCCCAAAACCCCATAAAGCAAAATTAGTAAATATTGGTAAATTATTAAATAGAATTTTAATTCTGAAGAAAGTAGATAGCTTAAATCAACTAAGGTTTGAAATTTAGAATGCTAAAATCTAAACCATTGATTATCTGAGTGATAATTTACTATATTCTTCATCAATAGGTTGCCCAGTTATCCTTACTTATTATATATCAACTGCACTTGCTTTGGATAAGCAATCATTTCTACCATTATAATCCGATACTTAACACAATAGCTAGTATATCATTCTAATATCTATGCTAGCTAGGTTGAAATCATTTTAATCAAGATTCATTCTAAATAAATGAATCGTTATGTTCTTGAAATCATGATCAGGGGTTAACTTATAATCAATAATGCTGTTAAGTTTAAAATAGTCGAGAAGTGCTTGAACATGTTGCTTATTTTAGGGGAGTCTAATTTACTTTTCAAAATTTTATTGATCTTTTGAGTAGTAAAACTGCAAGGGATTACTTTTCCTCATTGTTCTATCGTATATTACATTAAATGCTTCTTTTCTAGTTTAGGTAAATCTTAACCAATATCTATTAGCTGAACGCCTTAATCCACCATCTCCATATGTTTCTTAATGTCCTTATCCATTTCCCAGTCCATCTGTTGTAGCTATCCTTCGATCAAAAATGAGTTCTATTCTACCATCAATGAATGCTGAACCTGCTTATGGTCTATCATTCATAACTATCATTTATGAAGTTTTATCTGGGTTTTCAATGAATATTGCTGAGTTTATTGGGTACAAATTAGCTGGCAGGATTGATTTAATTTCTTCACCTTGGCCATCTTCACCATACTGTCTTATTCTTTTAACAAATTCAAGTCCATTAGAATCAGTGTAAAATACTCCATCATTATCTATATCATCTGACTCCCAGTTAATAGTGCCTTCAACGTTTTTCTCTAAAGGAGCGAATTCAACATCAAATTCAATGTCTCCACAGTCTTCTTGATTATTAAATAACTTAATGATTGTGTGACTCTATCCATTCGAGTTATGTTTATGCTTAATGACGAAATATCCAACAGTATTGCCATTAAAACTTTCTATGCTTAGCAGTCTATGGTTGTAATAAAAAGAATCCTACTAGTTGACTTTTGTGACGTAGAGACCTGCTTGTTCTTAATACTTTGTGCCTTCATATGATTTATATTATTTGAATGAATACTTAAAAGTTCTCTCAATACCTAAACTTTTATCATTCAACTTTATTTTTATAAACTAGTCTGTTGCTTTGATAATTTTCAAATTACAAAGCCTGTTGCTAATTTCATTATTTGACTCTGTCAGAATCTTAGGTATTAGCAAATAATTTTTCTATTGTCTGTTGAATAGGATTTCCTTCGATTCATTTGATTGACTTTTATCTCTTGGCTTAGCAGTCTCTTTAATTTCCTCATCAATTTCCTTCTTTTTACCAGTTATTCTAAAGACTTCAAAACTAAAAGGTTAAAGTTATTTCTCAATCAAGATATCAGCAGTATTAAACCCACTTGAATCAGTAAATTGGAATAAATCAAAATTCCTTTATTTAAATATTTTTTCTAGTCCATCGTATTCATCCACTTTGTAGCTATAAAGCCCATCACTATAGCATCTTATTTGCTAATTCTTTACCTTATTTATAGATGGATTATGTATTATCACATACTGTACGCTATCATTAGCAGATTAAAACATCAAATTGAATTGTATTTTCTCTGAGAAGTCATAAAAATATTGTTTAATATCAGTTTCATGAGACAAGCCTATTATTTTATGTATTAAGTTGGTTATATAATATTTCTGATCAGATATCGACCTTTTTATTCTCTATATAAAATCTAAGGCTACATTAGTAACAGAGGTCCCAGTGATAGCATCATGATGCATCATGAGACTTGACTCCTACAACATATCAATTGTTACATTTTGATATTACTCTATTAATTCTCTATCAATGTTTGAGTTTATCAATATGTTTTATACAAACTAATCTAGAGTGTATGATGTTTGATAACTAAACTACCTCATCATATACTTTGATAATGGTCTACTTGAGTAAAGACCTACCCAATAATGTTCATAGCGGTGCATATTTAAAGGAACCAAATCACCTTTGTAATAATTAAGTTATATATTTTTAGTCTCTATTTCCTTTTTAAGATCACTATAGAATTCAGTTAATGTGCTAAATTTAAATTCATAAGCATCAGTAATATCTAGAATGAATTTCGTAAACTGTTTCAGAAAATCAAAAGTTTCATCAGCATGAATATAGGCAAAGTCATCTCCAAATGTTATCATCACATTTTAAGTCTTATGCCCCTATATATGATCTGAGATGCATCTGACTAATTTTGCCTTATTGACATCTGGTTAGTCTCTGAATTATGTTTTGTAGAAATGAGTAAAGTTGAAAAGAGATAAGCCTATTCCATCACCTATTCCTATATTACATGGCGCTAAGTAGAGATCATAAGTTATGTGCGAGTAAATTCCATTCTGACTACTTTGATAAGACCCATCTAAACTTTCAAATGTTGGGTTCCAAATGAATCCCATATCTTTCTATCTAATCAATTACTACTTCTAATCGCTGCTAATTCTACCGAAGAAGAAAGCTTCATAGCCCATTTCCTAGAAGAGTTTAATATTCTCAGCTGTATGGCCAAATTCATCAGCATGCCAAGCGATCTTAGGGGCAATGTTGAACTCTCTCTTAAGGAAATCATGTCCTATGATGATGTTTTACATGATCTCCCAGTATGTTGTACATGCTTCATCTGTTGCTATATATCCTCCATTAACAATCTCAAGTTATCCATTCTTGATAAGATTTTTAGTCATTTCTCTAACTTAAAGCGGGGAGGAGTAGTACCAATTTTAGAAGAAAAACATTTCGGCAAAGATAAACTTCCTTTCTGAGTTCTCATGCAAAGCTTTGATAACACTATTAAGTATATATTTTGAACTGCCTTAGAGATAGTGATCTGCAGTTTTTAGCCACCCAGCGTCTTAATGAGAATGAGCTATCATATGAATAATCTTTCTCTCATTTTCTGGGGTTGAAAGTCTATGACTATTAATAATTTACTACGGTTTTGTTTCTGCTATTTTCTATTCTTAGTCATTTGATTATCTTTCTGAACCATTACTTTAATCATAATCAAGGAATTTTTCTTACTCTTCGAATTATTTCAGTGAGCTTATTACTACGATCATAGGTAGAATTATTATTATAACCAGAAAAATTAGCAACTTTAGAAATGGCCTATTGTGTCGATTTTTTGATGTTTTCGATTAGGTATTTGTTCTCATTTTATAAATTTAAATTTTATAATTACTTTAAATATATTTACTACTTCAAAATATAATCAAACTTCCATTTATAAAACAAATGGGGTTTTGGGGTTTTGGGG